TATTACTGGACTCCACTCCCGATTGTTGTGGGCTTTTGTTTGCACTCATATTTCACACACAATTAACAATTGATTATTACAGTATATTTATATTATTAGTGAATTAATTGTCTTAGAAATTTAATTATACATAAAACAAATTACAAACAAAGACACTATTCATTACATATATTATTAATAAGAAATATTTATTTATAATGTTTGCCATGGTATTTTTATCATATCTATAAATAAATTGTAATACAATAAAGCACTGCAAGTAAATACCATTTCGTTTGAGTTTTGATAATTAAAATATTATCCTTTTATTTATTTCATAATATAACACATAATGTTATTTCAGAAATATTACCCATAAATCCGTTCAATACTTATACAGAAATGTTCTCAAGTTTTGTGTCATATATTCTTTACCTGTTTATATTAATTGATCCTGTTTATTACTACATCATAAATCATTTAATTTATGGACAGAATTGAGTTTTAAAAATTATTTATTTCAATGCAATTCTGTATTAAATAAATTATTTATATTTTTGTAAATAAATAAACATTGATTTGCAATGACTTTATTTTGTGAATTGAAAGCCAATTAATATTTTAAATTATATTTGCTATGAATAATAGCCTATTATGAATTACTCGGATAACCCTTTGTCGCATAAAATAATTATACAGTATTTAGTATTAGTTTATTCAAGCGTTTAAAACTTTTTGCCACAATACTTTTGGGTATAAAAGTTTTTGCAGTTATCATGTTTTATATATTTACCAAAAATTCATATATTGTTGAAGAAATACCCAATAAATATAATATATGTTTAATAAAAACCAAAAACTAAACTTTTTACCACTAATAATGTTCCCTAATTAACATTTAAGCCTTATTTTGCTACTCTAATGATAACTACCCTATTAACTTCTAAATATTGTTATTAATAGTAAGGTAATATAAGATCAATGAAAAATAATATATCTATTTGTTTATCAAAGTTATTTATATATGAAAAGGATAATATTTTAAAATGAAATATTATAATATAATTAATTTTTTAAATACATTTATATACATATGTATATTATAAATATTTGTAAATGGCAATTAAAATTAAGATGATATGCATTTTAAATTAAGCTTTATTGTATTTATTATTCATTCATGGGTAATTAGTTTCAAACGCAATTATATTTTACTCGCAGTACTAATTAATGTAAAACTTTATTTAAAATTTGAAAAATAATGTAAATGTTTAGTTTTATGAATAGTAAATTAAATGCTATTAAAAATATTTAAAGCCATTAATAAAATTATTATCTAACTATTATTAATAATAATTGTATTTATAATTCAAGAGCTTGTATTAATATTTAATATATATAATTGTCCATAAAAGTATTATATTTATGATATATCTATGTCATTTTTCACATCATTTAAATATTTATGATATTCAAATTATCGTAATGAGATTTCATAATAATACAAAATAATCATTAATTTTAAGTTATAAATGTTTCTTAAATATTTTTTTAATAGCATTTCGCTTACTATTCATGAAATGTACAAATAAATCGACAATCAAATTAACCAGATTATTTTAAACATTAAATAATTGACTTTTTCTTTATATCTATATTTTGTATTACTAGTTTTAAAAATCTTATTAATTTGTGTATCATACATATTTATAACAACTCAATTAAATGATGTGAATAATAACATATGGCACTTGCATTTAAAACTCAATTATATTTCACAATAATATGTACTGGTAGACTTAATTGTAAAGTGTACGATAAACGTATTATAGCACTCAAATATTATGAAATAAATATATTTAATTTTGTATAATTTTGTTTAAATAACAGAAAACATATTAAAATAATATCATTGTTACGGCAATAAAAATCAATATTAAATTTAGCGTTGCTAGACGTCCTCCATTCTGGAGAATTGACACTCCAATCGACCCCCAGTGACACAGTTCTCCAGAGGGGTTGTGGAGGACAATATAATGTCCTCCATAAGATTTTGCTCAAATAAATTTTAAATTTCTTGTCAATTTTTACATAATCTTTATAATAAATACATGCATCATTCAAATTTTAATTCATAAGTTATGAATAACTTCATTTCATTATTATATTAAAGCTAGTAATTATAATTTATCTAGGATATCGACGATAATAGTGCGGTAACTATGAATTAAACAAAATTATATTATTCAAATAATTATTGGGCTAATATTTAACTATTTAAATATATATTTGAAAAAAATCAATTTATTAATAATTAAATCATCAAATTTGAATAATTAATTAAAAAATTATAAAAAATATTCAATAATTTTAATTTTACTTATTTAAGAATTTAAGTGAATATTCTTTAACTTTTTCTTATATTTCTTTATATTTTGCTTTAAAATATTCCGCATAAAACTTCCAATAACTTTGTTGAATGAGATTTAGTGTAGAATCAAATGTGGGATCAGTTTTGAGACAATTCTCATGAATAGACCATAAGTTATATTTCGATAATACTTGTGAACACTCGAGTCGAGTGCTGTGAATGGGAACACACATCGAGTCTAGGATTTGATCCAATTTAATGAATTTGTCGTATATTTCATATCCCGAGTAAATCTTCAACTCTACAGGGGAACTGTAATCAAATATTTTAATACATTAAAATGAATTATGTCATTAAACCAAATATCAAAGTAATTACTTAAAATTATTCAAATTAAACAATTTGTGTGCAATGATAGCAAGGCTATAAATATCTGCTTTCGGTGTGTATTTAGTTTGCAATTTAACTTCCGGTGCCATGTATTGACGAGTTCCCACTCCTGTGGTATGACTTCCAGAAGAACTGGAGTGCAGTGACGCCAACCCAAAGTCAGCCACTTTTAAATATCTGCCGTTCCTTACAGTCTTTGCCACTAATATATTGTCGGGTTTCAGGTCTCTATGAATGACCGGAGGATTTAATTCATGTAAATATTGAACGCATTCTAAGATCTCTTTGAATATATGACACGAAATGTAAAACTCGATTGAATAGATGTGTGTTCCCATTCACAGCACTCGACTCGAGTGTTCACAAGTATTATCGAAATATATGACACGAAATATAAAACTCGATTGAATTCATGGGATCTCCCGGTTGTCGACGAAATACTATTGGTTTGCGTTGAAGAATATACTTCAGACTATAGGAACACAACTCCGTTTGAATGTAATACACGCCGTCTTCGAACCATTGACTCATATATTGGACACAATATTCTGACCTAACTTTTATCAAATTTTGCATTTCTTGCATACATTCCCATAAATCAAAACCACCTATAAATGTATTAATTGTGATAATTTTAAATAATTAACAAATTAAAAACATTTAAACAAATTTTACAAGATTTACAAATATATTATAAAATAAAACATTAAAGCTGCAATAGTTATTCTAAATATATATAAATATCATTAAATTACTTTCAAATCTTATTTTCTTAACCGCATATTCTCGTTCATCGTATCTCCATTTAACAACAAATACTTCACCAAAAGCTCCCGATCCTAATGGATTAAACTCTTGGTACATAAGCTTGTATTCACTCATTTCAGAAACAACTATAAAACAAATTAAATTAATTTATTAATTCATTCATTCATTCATTTTTGTTTAAACATAATCCACAAAGTACGTAATCGGAGGGGAGGGGAAGGTGTTAAATCTGAAGCTTAATAAATAGTAATTATGCGGAATATTATTTATTTTTGCATAAGTAAAAATGTATTATTAAAATAATTTGCTTAAGTGTTTGCCAATGTTTCTAAACTACAATTACCAGTATAATGAGTTGGAAATAGCGTCCGATAAGAGCTTGCACTTAATTTGTTTGAAATAATTGTTTATAAACTGTAATATCTACTAGTTAATTTAATTAATTTTATTACTAATTTTAAAGAAATTTTATATTTTTAGGTTAAGGTTTTACTTATAAAGTTTTAGTTATTACTCAATCGAGATGTTGTTTAAATACGTGCGTTATGTTACCATATTAGGAGTGTTACTTATAAATTTGACTGACTGACTTCGTACTTTATGAATGCCCCCTAAACCAAGTTCATACCATTGTTTGATAACTCTTTTATAGAAGAAAATACTTTTTCCAAATAATCCAAACATTTTGAACAAAATTCGTTGGAATTCTGATAATTATATTCCTTATAATCACACAAATCAATGGTTTTATGAGTCATTTGAGACTCATTGAAACAGTCGAAGAAATTTGTATAATTTGTTTCAAATATATTATCGATTAGTTTGTCTGTAGTATTATATATTTTCCCATTTATTATTACATCTAACTCATACAAGTTATTCTTCTGTGACATAATCATATTCATTTCTGTGAACCTCTTATCAATATTTAATACTTTTGGTGATATTTGTATCAAATATTCGTTGTTTTCATTCCTATATTTTCCGCAAAACTTAATGAATCCATCGTTTGATAAGAAGTAAGTGGTTTGACCACCGGAACAGATAGTCTTAATACCAGTCATGTCTGCAATGAGTTGTGAGTAGGAGGATCCTGATATAGTGGGTGACCTGGCTTGACCCCAGGCCCCGAAAATAATAAACACCACAAAAATTAAATCAAAAATAATAAAAAAGTATACATTAAAAATAAAAATAAACAGGTTATTAAACCACTATCTCTATGAAAGTTTTTATTATTGTCTAGACTAACAGATGTTTTTTAATAGCTTATTTTATAATAAAGTAAATAGGGATCGAAGTATTATTAATGTTATTATTAAATGTAGCAAATTGTATATAAAAATATTGTTTCTATTGTATCAATTAATAATATGACAAATAATATTATGACATAATATTGTAAAAATATTGTAATGGTAAAACCTACAACCCAAACATACCTTCCACCCATTAATATATTAATAAATTTTTGTGTTATGAGTAAAACTTTACTTTCTAGTTAGTTAAAATGAACATGATAGTGTCTATCATAGTTAAGAAAAAGTGGTCAAATAGTTACTTAAATAGTTATTTATTTTTTATCAAAACGAGGTATATTTGTACTTTTTTGAATTATATTTGAGAAAACACATTAAATAATAGTAAACTAAAAAGCATAATCGCTGATTATTGTATTATTAATCAAAAATTATGTTTAATATTTCAATTATTACCAAATTTTATATAAGAAACTATACTGTTATAAAAGCATTACGAGTTTCCTAAGCAGGCATTTTTGACTTGTTGATTGGAAATGAAAGCCCATTCAATGCTGAGTCCGAATATGTCATTTATATTGTCCTGTGACCTCGGGTTCGGCCGCAGTGACCACTTTTACCGGGAATATTTTTCATAATAAATATGGACATGTGATATATCAATTCAATAGAGAATTTAATACAGATTATTATTTCATCACTCAAAATATCAAAAACTTAATATATCACGAAATAATGCTATTTTATACATATTTTATATATAAAATATGATTATCTCAAATATAAGTCAAATCATAAATGAGTTTAGCCTTCATGCAATTCAGCTAAGACTTATTTCCAACCCCTCCCTACCCGACCTCCTCCACACCAATTACAACCCCAGAAACCGACCTTCTCCACACTCCACAATCGCCGATGTCGTGCAGGTGTTCCCATTCGGAACTACACCTGTGCGGTGCGAGAATCAGGAGTTGGCTCTCCCGGCACCGATGAAGACCTTGGCCGGCCCTACAGCCAACAACCGATGACGTTAAAGCCTCCCAAACACCATCAACAATGGTCATCACCACTGCATTGCATTCACTTGTGGCTACTGTCTCACACACTACCAGTCCTTCCCAACCACTGCCTCCCATCTCACCACTGATGGCTCACTAGCAGGCACTCAAACACAACGTTTTCGGAAGGATTCGCATACAAGTCGCCGGCATACTTGCTATGCCTCCCGTCTACCTGACCTCTGGACACGCAAATCCTGGTTAGCCCCCTAGCGCACCACCTGTGCCCACACAACACATTCGTCCATATACCACAGTTTGCCCTCACCGCCCACTCCTACCAAACATCGCACTCATCCTCACCGACACCTCGAAGTTGATTCTTAGCCTCAATCGTCGCGTCCGCCTCAGACTACCTGTGCCATCCTTCGAGTGGCCGTCCTGTTAAGTGATGGGGGAGTAACGAAGGTCTATGAGTTGCTATCCTTGGCTACCCACTGGCCGAGTCATCACACCTGTGCCTCACGAGCAGCACTAGGACTTTCCAATAGAGTTGTACAGTACTCATAGATACTGACCATTAGCTCATTATCTCATGTATATGGCATGGCACCTCTATGCCTTAGAACGAGTCTATACTAAGCACTCATTCAGTGCACATCTCTTGTAATGAATTAAGTCTGTTTAATAAAGTGGTTTAGTTTGTAATCATTAAGTGTTTTCGTTTGTGTCCTGAGGTCTAGTACATTACCCGGTTCTCTGGCCTGACCATTCTTATATCTAATAATATTTTACTAAAAATATCCATTAATAACGTAGCATATTAAAAATATTCAATATTGTAGCATTTATATTCTTTTAACACTTTAAATATAAACCTTACAATATTTCTATTTTAACTACTATGATCTGTATTAAATTCTCTATTGAATTGTTATATCACATGTCCATATTTATTATGAAAAATATTCCCGGTAAAAGTGGTCATTGCGGCTGAACCCGAGGTCACAGGACAATATAAATGACATATTCGGACTCAGCATTGAATGGGCTTTCATTTCCAATCAACAAATCAAAAATGCCAGCTTAGGAAACTTGTAATGCTTTTATAACAGTATCCTTACATTTGGAAAACATATTTTATGACAATTGCAGGCAATATGTACTAAACCTGGTATAAGATAGCAATAAATCTATCACTACATTTACATTTCATTCTTCAAATAGAAATTTCAAGTTTGGTAAATTGATCGGGTATCTATTTTAATTAATATTGTATTAAAAATTTGTATATTTTAAATTTAACTTTAAATATTTCAATTAATAAATGTATAATTCATTCGAAAATAATTTACAGACTAATAAGAGTTATACCAATTATTAATAATATTTAATATTATTTTCATTTTATATTTATAATAATCATAAAAAGTTTGTAACAATTATGATTAGTGCCCGGAATGATTGGATTTTATTGAAATTACTGCCATAACCCTTTACCACTTATGTCTTTTTTCAATAGAAATAACATTAGAGTATAAATAACGTAACTTAAAATTAAAATATTTTATTCGATTAATTAAAATTTTGATTACATTTTATAAACAAATATTGTTCAATAAGTTCGGGGAGTAAACTTAGATGTTTATCTGTTAGCATACTATTAAGTTGCGAAAATGTGCGCTCAACTGAACAGCTAGTGAGAGGCGAAAAAGCTTCAATTGATTGAAATTTTTTATTCAAAAAAATTAGCAAATCTTTTTTTCTTTTCTTGACTGGAAATCCATTTCAATAATTAGTGTTCACTTAAATATGAAGTTTGTATGCGATTGGAGTGAATCTCACAAACAGTTTAAAACAAAACACTATTTAATTAAACACAAAAATATTGTTCATCTAAATAAGAGGAGTAAATGCGATTGAAGTAAATGTTGTTAACAATATAAACCAAAATTACATTTTAAACATCAAAACTAATTGTAATATTTGAAACTAAACTCAAATAAAATGAAAACTGCTTTAAAACTTTGTTTATTACAAATATTAATCCTATGTCACGTTATTGATGATAGATAAAGGGATTATATCTGGGCTTCAAGTCATATGAGTGGTAAAGGGTTTTGGAAATGATTTTGCATTTCCACTAATTCCGGGCTTTGATTATGATACGTACTAATAATTTAATATTGGGTGTCCCATCATATCAGTACGACTTGTAAATTAAATTAAAAATATTTACAATTATATTTTACTAACAAAAACTATACTAAAATGTTGGAAATTTATTAAAATTTTATGTGAAATTCATAAAATGTTCACCAAATGCCTACCCTGGTCATAATTATAGTTTTACTGCATGCATGTCTGTTTTTTATGCAAAAATCGTTATTTTCTTAGAGCGCTATGACTATAAAGCATTAATGCGAACATTCGGTGACAGTTGTAAAGTACTATTACTATGGTATTACGCAAAACAGACATGCATGCGGAAAACTAAAATTATGAC